CTAGCATGGGTCAAATAGACAATAGCATGGGTCAAATAGACAATAGCATGGGTCACGTAGACACCATCGTGGGCTTGACCAGTCTGGACACAGGATGCTAGTCACACGTGACCTTTAACAGGATCTACTGTACGTGCAAACACCCATCACGTGCAGTGGCGTCGCTATGGGAGGGAGGTTGGGGCAGCCGCCTCGGGCGCCGGCCTAAGGAGGCGCCTAAAAAGGTAGGGAAAAAAATTTAAAGCTAATTTTAAACCTGTTTAAGAAATTAACACCAAAATAAATGACAACAGTAAGTGCAGAATAGAGAACACTAAAACATATGACACCAAACCAAAAAAAATTAAACAAAACAAACACCTAACATAAGACTAAAAAAAAATTAACACACACACAAAAAAGTTCCCACTTTAAAAAAAAGCGACACCCCAAGCCAGACAAGACAACTTCACGTCAACAAACATCCGTCTAGACTAGACACAGCAGCCTAAGTGTGTTCGCGTGCAGCTGGACACGACTGGCCGTGTTCGCTTGCTCACCTGGTACCAGCACTAGCTGTCTAGACGTGTAGACACAATATGGTCCCTCGAGCAGCAGACGACAGTACTAATCTAGACCAGAGGCGCAGGGGCGGGGGGAGGAGGTGCTGACCGCACCAGTGACATTATTTAATATAGAGGGTGACGCCATGGCAGAGGCGTAGCGACCCTTCCCAGCGCCCGGGGACAAACTTTTCGATTTGCACCCCCCCTCAAACTTTCGATTTGCACCCCCCCCCCCCCTCGAGATTTTGATTTGCACCCCCCCCCTCAAACTTTCGATTTGCACCCCCCCTCGAGATTTTGATTTGCACCCCCCTCAAACTTTCAATTTGCACCCCCCTCAACCTTTCAATTTATTTTTCCAACCCATTTTGGCGCCCCCTAAGCTCGGCGCCCGGGGACACATGTCCCCCCCCTCGCCCCCCCCCCCCCCTCTCGCTACGCTACTGCACCATGGAAAAAATTGTAAAATATGAAGGAGATAAAAAAGGTTTTTGCCAGTTCCATTCATGATTAATTAAAGTTTAATAGTCTTTTAAAGCACAAATCGAAAATTATTACAAGAGGTTGGGGGGGGGGGGGGTGACACCATGACGTTAACATGTTAACTATCTATAGAAAAAGCAATTCTACATCTAACTGTATTATTAACAGACCACAGAGAAACTTCGTTACTATTAAGTCTGCAGTGATTAAAGCTTACACACATACATGTACGCGAATGTGGCATATATTGAAATTATAGGCGTGTTTAGGCCGACACACCACACCACACACATACATATACTTAATTTCTTGGGGGTGGGGTGGCATCAGGAAGTGCCGCTCTGGGTGACACCCGACCAAGCAACGCCACTGATCTAGACTAACACACATACAGTGTTTCTTTCATGCATTTTTCTAATGGGGGACGGGGTTTGGACTCTGGTTTAAGTATTTATTTTGAAAATGCATGTTATTTCGCTGGGGGGGGGGGGGGGGAGACGTCTTTCGAGGGGAAAGTTCCCCCCCTCCCTCAACCCCCTCTACAGATGAGATGCCTGAAAGAAACTATACACACCAACAATTAACATGGCCACACAAATTCCTACTTACCCATAACTGCAGATCCGCTTGGGTTGCTAGCTCTACGAAGTAAGTCCAAACGAAATCGCAATCTCTTCATTAGCCTAATTAATACCCAATAAACCAGATAATTATAGGAGTCGGGTAAAGGTTAAAATATTCCTAGACCGGCAAAATGAACAAACCTAGGAAATAATACGTGGACGTAATTCAATGAAAGGAGTATTTCAGGAGTAGAGTTTTAGCACCACCATAAAACGATTTCTTTTTTGTAATAGTTTATTATACAATTATGAAATTTTGTTATCAGCCTACTTAGAATTTTTAAGGACCGGTCTAGTCTAAATTGAAAGAAAAATAAATTGTCAGAAGTGGGATTTGAACCCACGCCCACAGAAGTGGACTGCGACCTGAACGCAGCGCCTTAGACCGCTCGGCCATCCTGACTACATTCACATAGTGAAAATCAAACAGGTTATTACTAATTAGATTGTTGAAACCAAAGAGAGATAATCTTGTTTAATAGACGGACGATTAAAGAGCCATGGGTGCTTTTCCTTGAATTTTTAATATACTAGCTTAGTTCTGGTCATAGCCTAATCATCTTATATCAAGATGTTATAGCATATACAACATTGTGTGATTGGTTTTTTTTTTTATTGTTGATACAATAATAGACAGCGATTTTTTAAATAGTTGCGACAAAATAGGTAAAAACCGAATTTTATTCCTTTTGATAATTTTTTAACAAAAACATTAATAAATAAGCCAAGGACTCCATTATCTATTTCCTTTTAAAACAACATCATTTTGTTTGTTAAAAGTCTATTTTGAAACTTATCTATCATCCATGTAGGTCTACAATTCATTCATTGTAGGGTTTTTTTAATTCAAAAATTGCAATGATCTATTTAATCCAAACAACAAAAGCTCCCAAAAATCATGAATCTTTCTGCTTTAAACTTTAAATTATGACTTGACTTAATCCTCTTTCCTACTTGTGGAACATAGAACCTCAACCATCCTTCCATTTTGCCCAGTCCCTGTCTGTTGATTTTGAAGTCTCCCAAGACATCCCTGCTGTCTTCAGTTCTTCAAGAAGACTTCACCTCCATATCTGTCTTTATGGCCCTCTCGTTCACTTTCCCTAGGGGTTCCACTCAAGCACCTGGAGTGTTACATTAAATTGAGCCTTTCGTAGTGTGTGTCCCACAAAGCGCCACTTCCTCCTTCTTAGTAAAACTTTAAATTTTGGCTCATGTGCTTTTACCAAAGAAATTAAATTTATTCTCAGATTTTCCACATTCGCGTTAAAATTTCAAAACTGGATTGACTTGGTCATCCTAGGTCTGTGATTTTTAACATTTTTTTGGTACCGAACTTCAACAGTTGCTTATGAGCATTCATCAAACCCTTTTATCGTTGGCACTGACAAAATCTGATTGTGAATCATATGAGTCAGGTGTGTGTCGTGGCCTCCATCGAACCACGGAGACTTACCAAACTACTGAAACAACAGAAAGATGAACAACAACTGCTTATTTGCATACTTTACTTTTATTCCACATCGTATCTATGACAGACAAACAAATAAATCTAGAAGACACACACAATACTGGTTACTGAAAAAAAAATGTAAAAGAAATTACAGTACAAACAATTATCTTTGTGAAAAATTAACATTCCTGACATTCAAATACACAAAAAAAATACAATCCAACATATAAAAAATACAAATAACATAAGCCTCATACATAATGGAATTTCAATAACAGATGAAAAATTAAAAAATGCCAAACATGAGAATCTAGTCTATGCATTTTAAATGATAGGACAGTTTTGTAGAACTTTTTTCTATTAGTTACCTGACAGTGATTTGACTGTGGTCTATACAATTCAAGCATACCCTTTAGTGATGTAAAACCATGTTTTAGCCAGATGTACCAGAATCAAATTATTAAAAAAATTTATGCAACTAATTTACAGCTCATGAAAGTAACTAAAAGGTAAATTAGATTAGTTTTGTATTAGCTGAGGTGTTTTGTTTGGTGTATTTTTGGTAACATATTTAATGTTTACAGTATTTGTTTAACTTGTTTATAATATTCATATCAATTGTACTACACATTTTAAACATATAAAGAACAAAAAAAAGAGCATTTCAATATAATTATAAAAACATACAACCTTGATACTCTCTGTATATAATAAAAACAACAAAGAAAACAAAATTAAGGAAAAAGTAAAAATTCCACAAAAAAGTGAAATCTTGTGTGAATCCAGTCCTTGGTTTCCAAGGGCAACAGAAAATAAGCAAATCACAGCAGTGACACAGATTCTTACAGCTTTGTACAGTAGACATTGTTTAAAAAAAAAAACCTCATGTGTTGTTGACAGTCTAATATGGTGTTTGGCTGGAGAAAATCTCAGAGCAACTAATAAGAGAGTGCAGGTGGCGGATAGTGGAAACCCTCAGCTTCAAAAAAGAACTCTGAGATTGTTAAAGTAAATTTAATTCTATTTTTATGTGGGTGAAAATAAAAGTCTTTGACAAACTCAGTTAATTTCATGTTGGCTCATTGTAATCTATTACCAACAACTGAGTTTTTATTTCAAATAGCGAGTTAAAAAGCCTAAAAAGAAGTTCGGTAACGGTAACTAGGATTGAATGTCACAGACCAACAGTACTAGATTCACAGGCGTTAGAAGAACAGTAATTTTTACAGAGCTGCTATCCTACATTGTAAGAAACCAAATAATTTATCCGAGTAGAAAAACAAATTGGCTAAAAAAAACTGTAAAGCTTGGTATTTATAATGGCAAGTAAATAAAAAAGGGAATGATGATTTAAAAATCTGAATACTTGTGATTATCTAATGCTATAGCATCAAATTTTTTTTTGGTGACAAATTTTAAGATTTGGAAACAAATGTGGTGCAAGTAGCGATTTTTTTTTCTTTCTCAACAACCCATCACAATCACTGAACAAACATAATTAATCCTGCCAGCCTAATTTGCGAAGGGAATTCTACCAAGATTAAAAAAAACTGTATCTCCTGTATCTTACTTTAAGAGCTTTACAATGAGCCAGCTAGGCCACTAGCCCTACAACACTGGATTTAAATCACAGACTTGCTGTACCACTTTACCTCCCAGGTAAAGACAGTTTATTTTTAACCTATGTGAAGTCAGTTTTTTTATGAGTCATAAAAAAAAATAGCAAACCAGAATTCCAAGTTATTTTGTCTCAGTTTACAAGAATTCGTCATTGACAAAGGAAAGCACCAGTATTCTAGTCGAGCCAACCCAACCATATCATACAATGTACATTTTTTTTTAACATTACTGTCTTTAGTTTAACAACACATTTAAAAAATAACACACACTGGGAATATTTTAACAATGTATGTATTTTCAATAAATATGACATTACTTGCTGTTTTGAAAAGAATTGAACTATCATACTTAAACAATCGACTGAATTTCATAGTCCTGATGAAAATAATTAATTAATCAAAAGTAATTTAAAGAAGTGCATGTTGATACAATCAGTCTTCAGTTTTACTGATGTTTTAAAAAATTTTGAGTGCTAAATCACTAGGGAAAGTCATCAAATGTGAATCAGGTCAGTAGTAATTCAGTGTTAACTAACATGTATAGGGTCCTATAACAATTTTTATTGAATCTAAAATGAGCTTTTCACTTCCATCTTAACTTACTTTATTACCTTAAAATAAGCGAGGACCAAAAGGAAAAAAAATAAGACCCTCTGATTTAAACCCCTAAATTTAAAATGCAATTACAGCAATTACAAGAAGCTAGAGTTGCTCTTTATACATCACAAGGAAACAATTTTGTGACATGGATTCCTGTGTATGAAAACATTTTGTCTTCCTGCCAGATTTTTTAAAGTCTGCAGCTTGAAACAAAACAAAAAATAAACCCATATAAAAAGCTTGTGCAAGTTTATTTATCACACAATGTTCATAACATTACATCAGACAGGAATCAGAGTGAACTCTGTGAACTAGCAGCAAATTAAACCTAAAACTTTATTGGACAGTTATCTATTTTCAATTACTTTTTTTATCATTTACTTGGGACAAGTAACTGAGTTTATCTACCCTTCACAACAACAGTTAAAAGATATTGAAGAGACAGTTTTCTGTGATAATTATTGCAAGTGTAGATTTAAATGCATCAAGCACACAAAAAGTATTCCTTAAGGAGTAAAAAAAAAAAATCTCCAGCCTATTAGTAAGAATTTTATTAGTAATGTGACTGTTTCCAGACTTCCTTTTTAAAATTTCTTTTGAGATTGTAAGTAAGTACATGATATACAACAGGTTTAAAAAAAAATAGTCCAGAGGTGCTTATTGATAAACCAAATTATTTAATGTGGTGGTGGTGCTGTTTGCATGGTATGAAATTGACATTTGTCTACATCCACATTAATGTTGTGTATGTAAGGTCTAACATACAAGCTGGCAAAGTGTCTAGCTAAACAAAGTTGCCAGATAAATCTAAACAGTTGCCAGATAAAACTTGTTTGTGACAAGAAAATGAGTGGGGGTTTTAATATATAAAAGTTGCAAGTTACTTGGTTATTTAATTATGTAGTAATAATTCAATCAGGTGAGGAGTTTTTAAAATAACTTTAGGATTATGATCGCAAAACAAAAGGGTGGAAGAAAAAAAAAATAAACATAACATCCCAGTGGACAAGACATTAAATCACAAAAAAGGGTGTATAAACAATTTATTATATATATCATTGTACAATAATTGTCATTGAATGAATAGATTAACTGAGTGATGAAATATTCAGTTTTACTTCAGAAAAACAGAAGACCAAAAAACAACAATAAGTTAATAAGTTCACAAGGGTATATAACTCTCATGATTTTCGTTTAATTCACAAGAGTTCTAGTTTACAACATCCCCACATATTTGGACCACCTTTTGTTTATGTGTTTTTTTTTTAAATAAAAAAAACAGTTACAATAAAATCTTCTTAATAAACTATTAATTTTCATAGCACTTTTAACTTATACAAAACTAAAGTACACAAAAAAATTAATCTGCATCATGTATTCCAAAACAAGACTGTACATCATCAAGTCATGTCAAACCAGCTGATTTCAGTTCAAACAGTTTAAAATTAAACTTATCAAAGAGATTATTCCTGAAACATCCACTGACCATATGCATGACTATCACATCACTGAAATCATTCAGTCACATTAATAATCTTGCCTAAGATTGCAAGACAACATCACCCTAAATGCTTGCAGTAAAAAAAAAAAAAATAAACTAAAATTAGCTAGTCAAAGGTCATTAAATCAAAATGTAAGCATGTAACTGTAAGATATCAGATTACACAGAACAATAGTCTGTTTGTTCAATTACACCGCTGTATAGAAATTACTGAGCTGTTGATAATTCATAATGTCGCGTCCTTTGTCGGAAAGTCTCTGTTCAGTTGTATTAAATTATTATTACATTTTTTACAAGTAATTGGGCAAAGCTCACCATAATGCCCAGCTTTGTTGAATAGCCAGGGCAAGCAAAAAAAAAAAAAAAGCATTTCATATGTAATAAGAATCCAGTCTTCCAACCCATTCACTTCACTCTCAATCAAACCATACAAATACTGTCCACAAACTTACACATTCTTCAACCTAAAACAAATGTTTATCAGAACTGTTCACTGTGCAAGCATTTCCATTGTTTATTTATACATTTCACAGTAAGTCAATTTCTGTTAATGTTTTTATCACCTCGACAGAAGAAAAATCGTACTGGGGCATTTTAAGACATTTAAAAAAAAATGGAAATAAAAGGAATCAATGTAAGGTTGGTTACTTGCAGCAACCCCCTTCTGACTGTTGACCCCCCTGTTCATTATTGAGTCGAACACCTTGTTGCCTTTGTTGTGGTGTCCCTGTTGTTTCACTCTTGGGCAGTTTCTTGGCTGCAAGTTCAAGAAAAAATTTAATAACCCATATCCTTAGACCAATAAACTACAAATTATGTTTATTATATACATATATAACTAGACGACCCAGCTATCCGTTGGATAAATGTCTGTGATGAATATTTAATTTAAAAAATAACTATTATCTTTAACAACCTCAAACAAAAGTTAAAGAAGTAATACAAATAAATAATTTATCACACTTGATGAAGAATTGCTATTCTACACATCTATTAACTCATTTTTATTTGCACCATAGCACTTCAAAATCAAGTGCCAAATTCTGTACAAGGTACCTCTTGCATGTTGTATGTGGTACAATAATACAACAAGAAAAATTCTCTGAAGCAAAAAAACTGAGCTAGTGAAATGCTTGTCATGTTAATTGAACTATGTTTTTAAATGAAAGTCAAAGGTTTACTAAAACAAGTGACAAGGCATAGTAACTAGACAACAACAAAAATTCCTAAGAACAACACCACAATATAGAATGTTAGCTTACCTATTGCAAGGAAAATATCATTCACATTCATAGCTGTTTTAGCTGAGGTTTCCATGAACAAAAGGCTGTTTTCTTCAGCATAAGAATGAGCTTCGTCATGCTCCACCATCCTTTTGTTAGCCAGATCTGCCTTGTTGCCGGCCAAAGCTATCACGATATTTGGACTGGCTTGACGCTGAAGTTCCTTAACCCACGTTTTGGCCCTGCCAAATGTGTCCTAGAAGAGAACAATACAGCTAGTCAAACACAAACTCCCAATAATTATTACAAAATAATTCTTTAAACATTGAAAACCTTTAAAAATATATATATTATCTAGTAAATAAAAACAAAACATGGGAATAAATATAAAAATAATTCCTCAAAATTAATACAAGTTTTGAGAGAGCAGGGCTTACTGGATTAATCATATACAACAATGGCTGAATTCACATAATTAAAACAAGGTTAAAGAGAGCAAGGCTTACTGGATTTGTTATGTCATATACAACAACAGCTGAATCAACATATTCAAAACAAGGTTAAAAGACCCAAACTTACTAGATTTGTTATGTTATATACAACAGTAACTGAATTCACATAATAAAAACTAGGTTTAAGAGACCCAGGCTTACTGGATTTGTTATGTCATATACAACAATAGCTGCCTGGGCTCCTCTGTAGTACATGGGGGCCAGACTGTGGTAACGTTCCTGACCTGCCGTATCCCAGATTTCAAACTTAACTGTTGTGTCATCTAGACAGACAGTCTGTGTAAGGAATGCGGCTGTAAAAAGTAGAAACAAAATGTAAAAATTGAAGTATTTACTAAAACTTCCTGTCACAAAATGATAAAATTTGAAAATAGTTATTAACTAAAACTATCTGTTAAATAATGTAGAAAACTGATTATTTAAAATGTTTAATATTTCAATGTGTGATATCTCTTATCCTTTAGTCAATCATTTGTACACCAGACCACAAGTCAGAATGGTGACACTGTATTATGTTGACCTTTGAAAGGTCATGGCTATAAAAACCATTTAACAATGCACATGAATAATTAGATCAAGAATACAATGAACTTAAAAACATGGCTATTATTCAACTTGAGCCCAAACACAATTAATTTGGTACATGTTTATAAAGGGCACTTATAATACTGACACTGAAGTACTTTTTTCCCCATTCATGCATTGAAACCTTACCTCCAATTGTGCTCTCTTGGTATTCATGAAACTGTCCTTTGACAAAACGAAGAACCAAACTGGACTTCCCTACTGCTGATTCCCCTAACAGCACTAATTTGAACTGACATATCTTTCCCTGTGATGCCCCGTTAGGACGCTGTTGGCCACCTCTAGTTGCCATGGTTCTAGTCTCTCGTTACTGGCGAGAGCAAAGTCTCTACTTAATGATGTTAAACTGTTTCCTGCTACTTGATGTTATGAGTACTTGATACTAAAATACAAAAGTTACAATTGTTGTTAGGTGACACTCCTATCTGCACATAAATTTAACTGTGAAATAACAAGTTTGACAGGTCAAGTACTAATTTAAAAAAAAAAAAAAACAGAACTATTAAACTAAACACAACTGCAATGAATCACTTAATATGAATAAACTTCATCCATCAAGAGGTCAAGATGCAAAGAAGTAGAGTATCAATCCACACACATTTTTTAAGCACAAAATTTGCCATGATAATAAAAAATAAACCACTTCAAAAACACTAGAACAAAAAAAAAATGATGTCAGTTGTAAGCTATGTGCTATAAAATCTCAAAAATGACTGCTAAATCCTTCACATGGCTGAACAGTTTTTATTATTCTGATGTGATGCTAATGTTTGCATGGTCAATTAACTAAGGTCTCATTGTATGTTAAGGAAGAGGATGTCATGCTAAAATAATAGTAGTATTCACTCTTTTCTGTCACCAGCAAAAAATAGAGTTAAACACATTCAAGTTGGTAAGTGCTAAATTGGCTTCAAAAAGTAACTATTTGTAAATTACTTTAAAAAAATTCTCTGGCTCAGCAAAGCAATTTTAATGGTAGTTTAGTGCTTGCAACGAAAGAGAATTGTAAAACAAGCCATTATCATTGAGATAGAAAGGTCTTTTATGGATTGAGGGCAAGTGTCTCTAATGCTATTATTGATTTGCCAATAATCAGCTGTCAGAGTTAATGATTTAATAGTGGTTAGGCCAGCTATTCTTTTTTTTAGTACTTGGACTACTTTAAGTACTTCAATGTCTAGGGCAGGAAAAATATTGAAATAATACTAAGATGGAATTTAAGGTAATGATTATTTAGTTAAATCAGGCACAGCTTCTAATTTATACTGAACAACAATTATTTATCTCAATATGAGGTAAAGTATAGAATAGGTAATATTAGGGAACCATACTTAACATGAAGGTTTGGTGAACACAGCCAGTGGTTAAAAGGCTTGACTATGAGGACATAATTGCTGTCATAAACACACAACTGTTTGGTATAATTGCCTTTACTAATTATAATATGTCCTAGCTGTTTATTTCAAGCTGATCAATAAATAGGTAAATTGTGTTTGTTTTTTTCAATACTAGTTTTTAGATGGCAGACCAAATAAGTTCTACTTGGACCCTATTATGAATAGGATTTTCTTACCACTCTTAACTTATTTACCAAACCTCAGAACTTTGAATGGGAAATTATTTCATAACACTTTGAGGAGCAATTATGGTCAAATAGAGCAAACGAGTTCTAGTCTTGAGTTTGAATCTGGGTTCAAATCTGTAGAACGTCCCTGTGATGGGTACCTGACTATTGTTAGGGAAAGTAAAGGCATATGGCATTGTGCTAGCTACACTATACCTTCATAAGCAAAGGTCACAGAAACAGGTGAACTCTACTTTAAAGGAGCAATTAATCTCTGAAAACAATAGAGCGTCCCAATTGTATGGTGCCATTTAACACGAATGTAGGATTCCATATTGCTCATATGGGAACTCAGGGTCACCTGACCACCGACGAAAGCGCCAAATTTGATTTAATCAATGATAACATTAACCAATCAGATCATTAATGTCGACAAGAGAGCCCGGGGTGCCAAATTGCACCCTACGTGATGCCGCGCCTCAGAATGTTTTCCCATGCGGAAACCACCCCCTGAGTATTCTCAACTTTCCAAAGTTTCACTGCGATCAGTTGATTGTGTAGTAATGCATAAACGACAGACAGACACACACAAACATATTTACATTCCTTTGTATTTTAGTTATTGCTCATTTTAGTGCAGAGAACCTAAACAACTACCCAATAAAATTTGTTCTGTAAGTTTGTTTTCTTACTATGTTAGAGTTGTGTAATTTTATGATATAATAACTAACTTGTAATTGTATCCTATGGTATTTTTTTTTTTTTTTAAATTAGATTAAAACCTAGTGACAAATCCTAGAAAATTCAAATAACTGTCCATAAATGGTTCATGGGTTAAACAAGTCTCCAGCTAGGTTTGACACCGGTTAATGAAGTGAGTGATGAGCCAGGAGAAGGACACAGGGCAATCCTTTTTCTTGTTGGACATTGGTATGCCAAATAATGATGACTCTGGTTTATTGAGATTTTCATAATTTCATCCAGTTTAGGACTGAAATCACGCTTTAAGTTTAGTAAGTAGCCAAAACATTTAGAAATACTAATGCTTCAAATAATTTAACAAGATAGGCCATAATGGGAGAATATTTACACCGGTGTCAGATAATGGAATCTTCTTTAAAAAAGGGGTGTTAGGTTACTGGTAGTTAACTAAATACACACATGGCTGGCTAATGTCAATGCTAACCCTGTCCCTAACCCTAACCCCAGTCCTACCTTACGCCTAACCCTAATTTCTAACCATAATATTAGTCGAGATTACAATACTACTAACTAGTATTGCTCGCTACCCTGGAGGTGTGGCTGGTTGCGTACAGACCGGATGCATGACTTCTGGCGATTTTTTGTCTTAGTTCCAGAGACCTTCTTAGAATTATTTTTAAAAATGTTTACCACGAGCAAAATGGCGGGTTTTCACGATATAAAAACATGCTATAGGTGACAGGGCTAAATATGCCAGAAAAGCATTTTAAAACTTGCTTTGGAGAATGAAGGTTAAATGTAAAAGTCTGTGTCATTAAACTTAATAGAACTTTTAAAATACAGCCTGGAGATGAATTGGAGGTTGTAGAACTTGGGGTTATCAGTCTATGAAAAAATAAATCAAATATTGCAAGCACTTTTTTTATAAGACACGACCTCTGAATGACAACCAAATTTATTTATTTTTCACTAGTGAGGAGCTCTGGGTGCATGGCCACTTAAAAATTCTAACCTGATTTGAGGTTTTCTTTAGCGGCAAACGTAAGAGATAGGCCGCCTCATTGCTTAGATGGCTGGATTGACCTCTGACCCTGAAACGTCATGCGTCGTTTTCTGACGGTTTTTACGTTTATTTTAGGGTCCAATCCACGACATATGAAAAAACTGTTAATCTCGCAAATTCTTATCATTATTTTAACACAAGATGCTAATAAAATGGATAATATGCCTTAGAATGCCAGAAAAAATCGCTAGAATTGTAGTTGTAAATAATGAGGATTTCTAGTGGAGCACTCTCCGTATAAACTGAACCGCGGCCAAAAACGACCGTATAACGGGGAAAACGGCCCGTATAACAGTAGATTAATATATAATTGAGATATTTACCATGTATATTTACAGTATTATGGATGATTTTTACGAAAAATCCAATTACCCCGTAAGTAACCATGCGACAATTTCTCTCTGCTATTTTTAGTAACGTTGCATCATTGTTACGCTAGTTGCCAGACAGAAACAACTAGATCTAGTTTTTTGCGGAATGAACTGTTAAGTCTAGTATTTTAATTATAATTCAATTGTAGCATGTGCGGAAAAAGTAAAATTATGGACATTATTATTGTATTAGTAATTTTATTAGTATATTGATTTTTTCTTCACTGTGGGCCGACAGTTGCTGCATTCGTGACCGGTGGTTAACCTCGTCAGCGCTGCGTGGCCTATTAGTTTATATAATTAGTGAAGCTCGTTCAGTGGCCTTTTTCAGAGCTAGGCCTAATTACGGGCGATTTTTAGACTTATTGATCGGCCGTTAGCCTTTTTCAATTTTCATTGCTGCGTATTTTAAAAAATGCTCGTTCAGCGGCCTTTTTTTTTTGGCGCTAAATAATCTGTTTACGGGCATTTTAAGCGTTTATTTATTTTATTTTTTAAGCTAGATGTAGATCTAGTTAAAAAAATAATCTAGCATGCCTGATATGAGAACTTTAAAAAAAAAAAAAATTACCGAACTTTTAAAAAAATGATCAGAAGTAGGAAAGTAGGTCTGTTTTTCAATTTGCTTGAAGAAGGGGGGGGGGGGAGAGAAGTGAAGACACCGACCATCTCGTGTACACGTGTTCATTCTATGACGTGTACTATAGGCCTGCTGAAGTCACGGTGACCCCGCGACCGTGGTGGGATTTTTCATCAATAGGATAGTAAACGCAAGCAAGCAATCACGCGAGTGACGATGTTTGGAGATTTTATTTTTAAAAAAAAATGTAATGTAAAAAAAAAAAGACACTAATACCATGTATGAACCTCAGCTGCCACACTGTTGACTCAATATAATGTGAATTGAGTGTAAAATAAAATGTATTTGTATTTATAAACTATAATATCATTTTAAGCATATTTATTATTTAAAATTAGAATTTGAAATAAAAATATTTATTATGGTCATTTGATTTATGCAGGTGTTCATTATTGCATAAAATGGTATGAATAACATGTAGATTAGAATTTAATAAATAATAAAATAACTAGATCTAGTTTTATTATCAAATCAACCAGTTACTTTTTGTTATTTTCCGGTGAGTAAATTACCTAAGCTGACGCAATTACCATGGCGGGAATTAAAAGCTCGTGTACACAAGTCGACGACGTCATGTTATGCCGGTCGAGGACCAAGAACGCTGTTTTGTCATTCATTTTCCATTTTTGATTAATTTTCAAATTCTCTCTTTTCTGGTCAACCGAGTAAGCTAGATATTTAAATGTGGTGTCAAATGTTCTCTTAAGGGGTAAGGAAGTTAATGGTGTATTTAAAATAACAGAATATTTTATTTTAAAAAATCCATAATTCAACCTAGTAAGAGAGGTTGTCATGGAGAGGTGTGTCATGCTTGGCAGTGAGTGACAATAAATATTAAATTAAGTAATTTAGTTTAAAACAAACTAAAAACTTCAAAATTAGTGCCTAATGGATTAAATATGTCTAACATTCAGTGGTCATGTTTAAATTGAAAATTGAGTAGGCCCCTAGACCTAAATTTTAGATTTAGTAAGAAAATCTACTAACAACCCAACACACCTATTTTATGGAAGAGTCTATTATCGGAACTGGTATCTAGATCTATAATCATCCCTAGAATCTAGATCTAGTAATTACTAATATGCTAGATCAAAAAAATTCGTTTCACTCTTCCTACACTACCAGTCACTACAGCCAGGGGTGGGAAGGGGGGGGGGGGTTGCAAATAATAGTATAATAGTGAGAACCTTTTTTTTAATTTACATAATGAGAATGAATTCAGGGCAGCTAACTAATAAGGTTTATCATAATAATTTGTAGCGCATGAACACATTACCGTGAGCATACTAAATAAACTTAAGTTATTTTGAAAGATTTTGTAAACAGTAAACTTGAGTAAACACTAGTAAACAGTCTAAAACACGGAAGAGATTCTACAGTAGACAGTCGGCCATGTTTTCGAGCAGCTGACGACGAACTTCGTTTTTTGTACGTAAATGTATATTATTCGCCCTCTATATTTAATTTTTTAACTTACCGATAATCTTAGTATACGATAATTCGCAAGTATACTACTATATACCGTAGAAAGAAAATGGTAAGGAAATTCTTCTAGTCAATTACTATAAGATACACCCTCTGTGATGTTGGACTAATTTATGTATAAAACAGGAAAACCTTGCGTGTTAAAATATAGTCCGGAAGTTGATCAACTATCAAAAAAGTTTATTAAATTGTTTTCAGTTAACGTGTAACTAACATGAAGTTTAAATTTAATTTAAATATGAATCTCTTCTCAAGCTGCCTAACAGTAATAAAATCTTGAACACTATTTAGGCGCAGTAATCTATCCAAGACGAACCACCACATACGATATGACGTCATTCATAATACGGAAGTAGACACCTAATCATCAAGTCATGTTTTTATTAAATAACTTATGCATTCGCCTTTTTATTTAGTACAACACAAACGATTACCTTTTAGTAATGTTAGCAGAAAACAAAACAAATTGATTTAAAAATTTAAGAGAAAACTTTTTAATGTTTTAAAGTTTAATTTATGCTGAAAGTGAAAGCAAATGTAAACCATAAATACACATATTTTACAAATCAAAATTATAAGTTGCAAAACCTTACACAAATACAACCACACTAGGATGGTATAAAAAGGCTGCATCAATCACTTTCTTTTGAAACCAATGTAAAATAACTTGACAAAAATTGGGTTTACTTAACTTAAAATTGTGCACACATTTGTTGCACCTGCAGTTCAATTATCAGTTATACAATATATAAACCAATTATTTATAGTTGTTGCTCACAAAGTTCATAAAACAGATTAATATATTCTCTTAAAATATTTTTCTGTTCTTTTCAAACAATGCTAATGTTTTGCATCACAACACTAATCATTGCAGTACAAGTATATAAAATGTGTGGGCTACATTATTTTTGTCTCAACATAGATCAATGCCCGGTTTGCATTAAAAATAAACTATTTTGCTGACCTAGATCTTACACAATGAAGTAGCTAATTTTAATTAAAATATCTTTACTTTCGTTACAATTACAGCCATTGACTTGCATAGCAAACAACTCAGAAAAATGACCACTGCTAGAGTTTAAGATCCAACATGCTAAAAACGAAGATTAAACAGGAGTGCCAAATAAACTATATTCTAAAACATAAAAAAAAACTACGTTAACAGCAGTTAAATGGTTTACAATATCAACTCTAATGTTTGTTAGTGCTCATTAGTTAGAATAAAGTGTACTTGGTATCTAGTAAATGTAATAGAATTTGTGAAACAAATTCAGTTTCTGATGAAAAATGAAAAAGCTACAAAAATTCATGACCTTCAGGGAGAAATATAATTTTGATGACAGAAATGGATACAATTATAACACAAATAAAATAAATGTTCTTATAAATAAGAGGCAATTTTGCATCACTACCAGGATGGGAGGAAATCACTAAACTATTAACAAAAAAAAGACCAGTTATGGTTACAGCAAAAACAACAACAAAAAACTGTTCTTTGAAGTTCAATAGTAACTAATAAAGCACAACAAGTATTAAATGCAGAATGTTAAGTGAAAATATTCAGGTCACATCTAAGCACTTTTTAATTTCAACTGTCAACAACTTGCATAGCAAGATTTATTTAGTTGGGAACTAAACTTTGAAGTAAAAAAAAAAATTGTAAGCACACATCTGAAGCAACCACTACAAAATGGAAGTTATCCTTTTTAGAGTAAAATATCTGACAATTAAAAATGAACTAATTAGCCATTTTGTTACAATTCAGTTTTAATTTCTACAGCTGATTGCACGGTGCTGATTTGCTGAGGTAGTAGATTTTCTGCAACTTGTAAATCTTTTATTTCCATGACAGCTTTGTTATCAGATGAATCTATCACAATTTCTGTTTTCACTGGCTCATCACTAGAAGACACTGGTGCAGTTGGCATAGAATAATTTTCTTTTATGTCTGCACTATCATTGTTTGCATTCAACAAAGGATCTTTCGTATAACTAGATAATGTTGATTCAGCTGGATTGTCCATAGATAGTGATTGTGTGTTCACTTCTGAATGTTCAGGGTTAAGAGCCAAGGAGTTCATACCATTAGTAATTTGTGATTCATCTTGTAATGACTCGGTTGCTATTTCTGTTTTCGGTGATACAGGCTGATCTAACCTACTTGAATCTGTGTTGTTATGAACCGAAACAGGTTGCTTAAATTCTTTTTCACTCAATTGGACCCCTGGTTTTGCAGGATGGGTATGAGGGTGTGCATTGACTCCTTTACTAACTGTATTAGAAATGGAAGGCGCTGACTGCTTACTTGGAGATGACTTTTCAGGAGTTGTTCGTTGCTCAGATTTCTGCTTTTGTCTACGCATTTCCTGTTTAGAGTACCATACAACAAGTTTTAAATAAAAGAGATACATAAGTTGTGAATACAAATGTTTTGTTTTTAAAAGATGACATGTAAGCCAAAATAATGTAAGAGCGCATTTAATATGCAAAAAATAATAATATTTAAACCTTCAAAAATTATAAACTAAATTATTGACAATCATTTTCTTCTTCATAAATGATTTTAAAATTATAAAGCAAACAAAAAAAAAATTAAATTCCTTGTTATTTCAAACTTCAAACTAAATAGAAGAACCCTATTTTATTCTTGAAACTACTATTAATGCATTGTTGGTGCTCACTAAGGTTTTGGAAACTATGATTACTGTATTTCAACTAACTGAACTATATTTTTAATTCTGTCATAAAATTATTTAACTACTTTACTATCTACCTACCTGTGGATCAATAATAGGAATAGCAGCTTTAGGTCGCTTTTGTGGAGTTCTAGAGGGCTGCTGCAACTCAGGTGAATAGTAGGTTATGTCTCCTCTGTAAACTTTTTTATGCTGAAGAATGCAACACAATCTTAATACATTTGAAGCATTTTTTGCTAATATACATGTGTTAACAGTTTAAAAGTGTCAACAAGTAAAACTATATAAAAAAAAATATTAAGCTGTTAACTCATTTGTTAACAGTGTGTTGTATACCAACTTGTGCAACACTTTTTCAACTTGTACATCTATAACAGTTGCTAATTTTTTAAAATATTTATTGTATCAATATTTAATATAAATGTTTATCTTTAAGACCAAAAAAGACTATTCAGTGGTAATGATCAATATGATCATTTTGATAGTTTTGAAAATGAAAATATGTGAAGAGATAAATTAAGAAAACCCCTAAACAATTGTGGTACAATGCTAACACCAGAACTTACATGAGCTGTAGAATGCATACTCTGTTGAGGAACATTTCCTAGCGGTGGCGGCTGGCCACCAACCACGCCTGCAGCTGTTGGTGGCGGTGATGTGTAAGCCATGGGCATGGTAAATCCCGTTGCCGTCCCTGGGGGTGGGACTCTAGCTGCTCCCCCATACATGAGACCAGCTGGTAAGTACTGCGGTCCTAATACGCCAACAGGAGGAGGGCCAGTTGGGGGCTGGAATAAGGCAGCATTGGGTGCTATTCCAGCTGTGTTAGGTGGTATTGGTAGAACTGTGCTAGATACTGAATAAAACATAAATGATATAAATAATGAAAATCATAAATTGTATAGCTAATTTTTTTTTTCGTGTTATGTTATGAACTATGTTAAGCTTAACTCAAAACAAACAGATCCACAAAAGAACATATTTTTAACTTAAAGCAGAAGATAAAAAAACAAGTTAATTAAAAAAGTCTAGTGACATTTATGCGCAATTTCCTTATGATATCTAAAAATAGCTCTGACGTATAATGCTGGGTTGCATTCAAGCTAGAAGAACGATCGGTTTGTAGGTGTTTATGTAATTTTAAAATTTGTGACCGAGCGAGAGGATATTTTTGAAAACTTTCTTCGGCAATATTGTTCTAAATTATGGCAGGAATCGATTGGTACATGTTTCAAGTCGCTAAGTGGTCTGGTTGCCGAGATATGGGCCAAAAACTGCATTTTTTCGAGTTTTTTTGGCTTTTCCGGGAAATACATGAAAGAAACCCGGAATTTTTATGGCCTATGCTCATCCTCGTAACTTGCTTAACATAATTGCTTTTGTAACTAGTCATCGATATTGCTTCGTTGAGGAGGAGATACGACTTAAAGCCCGGACACACATCCATACATTCATCCATCCATTCCCAGAAATGACGAGTTAATAAACGCAATTCTCCAGAATGGAAATTGCGCTAAAAATGAGCAATGAATTTACCAGGCAATCCATAAGGTAATGCAGCTGTAGGAGTGATAAGAGTGGGAGGATAATGAGCAGCTTCCTGTACCACCCCTGGTGATGAAGGTGTGGGGTGCTGACCAGGTGCAACAGAACCATGTTCTCTGTAAAATGATGGGGGTGGAAGAGCTGAAAATACAGAAAACTGATTTAAAATACTAAAGAAAAAAGTGTTCTCAAATCATATTTAATAAATAGTAATATAATAAAAATAATATTGCAATTTTTTTTTTAAACCTTACTCTTAGTGAAGGTGTTCTAAGTACATAGAATTGAATATTAAACAGTGTTTTAAAAATAATACAAGTCAACAAGTTGATAAACATAATACGAATTACAAACTATCTACAATATTATTGGAAACAATTAGCTTACCTGGGTTATAAAGATTTGCACCACTATCTATAGGAGGAGGCTCAGAGTAAACTCCTTTAGCATGACCTTGCTGTCTCTGAGATGAGTAACGTTTAGCTCCAGTTTGTGAAGGGACTGAATTTGATTCCAACTTTATCTGGCCAGGTGGAGGTCCATGGTACTGCAAGCCTGTACCACCTAGACAATTACGATTACACTTTATAAGTAAGCAAGCAATTAAGCAGATTTAGAGGCATTTTACCTACTAAATAAAAAGTTGAATCAAAACAAAAAGAAACTAAGTTTGAGACTATCCTTTAATCTTGTGTAAAACTATAACTGATTGATAATTTCTAGGAAAGTGTTTAATCCTATTGTTATTGTCTCCTATTGGTTTGAGTAGAGTCGAGATAGGATATAAGTAGTGTTTTATTGCAAGTGTAATTTTTTTAAAAGGACAAAACAAGCTCAACTGACTAAACACATACCATGATTTTGCTGTTCCGGATGCCCAACCATAGTTGCCCCTTCCATCAGCCTAGAGGATCCCTTAGCTCTGCGCTCCTTAGCATACGACTTCTTTTCTGTTGTAGTACTTGTAATAGTAACATTAATAGTTTGAACATTCTCCTTGTTAGAAAACACAACATTCTGTGATGAGCTTCCATCCCCATTTTCTCCAACTATATTTTCCGTGTTTACAGCTGAAGCATTGTAGCTGTTTCTCTGTTTCGTCTTGTCTTCAGTAGATCTGTAAGTTGTATTGGTGTATTCCCTGGTCTCTTTTGCCGAACTGGCATCACCCTTCTGTTGCTGGTAGCGAGGTGGCTGTTCATAACGATTATTACGGTTGTTATAAGAATATCTATCGCCCTCTGCTGGGTTACCAGTTCGGGGACCTTTATCTCTCCCCCTGTATGACTGCTGTGACCTCCTGTTGTAATTATAATCACTATTAAAATCACCTCCTCTGTTATCCCTTGGATCTTTTGGTGATGACCTCCAGTTTTCTTCCACGCCTCTGTTAAAATCTCCATCTCTACCCACTGGTCTATTGTTGAAGCCTCCCCTCTTATCTTCTCTGTAGCCTTGTTGGTAGCGGTTACTATCATCATAGCGTCTAACATCCTGACTTTGGTTCATCTTTACATTCTTATTGTTTTCCCTATTATCTTTCCTGAAGTTAACATCCCTAGCATCAGCAGGGTATGATTTAGGCCCTCTCTCACTGGACTGCTTGTTATCACTCCTGGGTTTGTCTCCATTTTCAGATTCTCTAGCCACTGAAGATTTTGTGGAGTCTTCCAAACTTGGAAAATCTTGAGATAGTACTTCCTGAGTTGAAGGATCATCCCACATCTCAGGTTCTGAGTTATATTTTGAATCACCGTACTGATTGTTTCTGTTGTTGCGCTTATCAACATCACCACTTGCCCTCTTGTAGCCCATGCCTCCTCGCTTACTTTCAGCATTTCTTGTGTTGTTTCTTTTAACACTTGGTGGTGAAGTTCCATCATAAAGAATTAGCTCTCCTCCTAAAGCTGGAACTGAATCAGAACCATCTTCTGTTGTGTCAATGACAGCCATACGAGGAATAAAGTCCTGCATGCGTTGTTTTCTGGGACCTTTGTCTCTAAAAAAAATATATATAAATCAGTAAGATAACCTGATCTGGAAAAATGTTTGAGAACTTTGTATAATATAAATCCCTTTGCCATTTTGCAAAATACTGTTGCAAATTTTTCCTTAACTATAACTGAAATGATAAATAAAAAAATTTTCATTCAAGAAAATGCTCTGACCTGCCAGGTCTTTTAGGCGGAGCTTCAGGTGGCTTATCAGCTGCTCGAATGTCATAGCCATAGAGAGCAATTAATTCTTCTCTTGTTTTTGGAGCTTGCAGGTCATCACTGTAGCGATCATGTGACCATTTACCTTCATCTTGCCATAACTTTTTCTTTGGTCTGTTAATCAATGGTTATTTTTGTAAGTTTATTATTTGTGCACAAAATTTTTACATAATTTCTACTTTAACAATGTTGTAGATAAACTGAAAGATATAGCACAGCATAAATAATAAACAAATAATGTAAAAAAAAAATATAAATGATACATAAGAAGAAAGAAAATGTACTTTGAATCATCTGCAACTTCCTGTACTGAAGGGCCTTCATCACCATGCCTAAAGTCATGCTCATAGAAAGCACCTTTTCTAGGGACGTAAGCTGGGTTCTTTTTATCTTCATCATCATCAGGTTTATCATTGTTAGGCTGCTCCTAATATTAATCAAGTGAAACAAACTATTTCAATCTCATATGATAACAACTTTAAAAAAAAACTAGATCTACATAACCAGAAACAAACTGAATTTTTTACATTTTAAAAGAAATAACTTACTGAATACGAGCTTTATGAAAATAAGATACGTTCTACAGACTTACCTCTCCATCACCACTTTGCCTTTCTTCTTCAATACCCTCTTCATCTGAATATTCTTCTCCTCCCTCTGTTTCTGACCCTGATCCACTTTCTGATTCTGTCTCAGAACCTTCTTCAGTCTCTGTTTCACTTTCCTCTTCACTTTCTTCCTATAATAATTTTATTTAAATTATATTCAGGATGCTGTTAAATTAAACTCTTCTAAGTTACTCAAAAATAAAGCTGGTTTGAACATTACATAATATTATGATTACATTTTTACATAATTATAATATAAATAAATGGTAAAAAAAATTTTTGTAATAGTAAACATTATTTTTTTAGCCGTCTTCTATATTAAAAATAAAAAATTCTTACTCCAGGCCCAGCAGCATCTTCTACAGTACTTTCATATTCAGATAAATCTGTTGAATAAAAGATAAACAAGTCAAGACAAACATGTATAACTTAATATAGAACCTGTGATTATATTTATAATAACCTAAGCAAATATGACTTAACAGCAATCCATTTTGTGATGAACATTTAATCATAAAACATCTACATTTAGTTTTGTGAGCTAAAAACATAGGAAAAACTATACCTTGTATATCTGGGGTCTCTCCTTCAGATTCCTAAAAAGAAAAACAGGAAAAACTTTCTAGAATAATTGAATTTTAAAAACAGCCTAAACTTAACATTAAGTTGTTTTTCAAGATGAGCTTCAAATTAACTGTTAAGTAGTTTGTGATAAGATAGCATGCATAATTTTTAGCAGTCAATGATTTTAACAAACTATTATAGCTTAATTTATTTTAATTTAAAAAGTAAACAGTGTTTCACACAGTAAAAAATTGTCTGACACAATCATGCTGACAGCTATACTCCTAAATACGGAGCATCTATTCTAGAAGCAGTCAGTTGAAATGGGATTATGATTTTAATTTGGTTGATATTAAACATTTTGTGTTGAAAGCCTAGATAAACTTATCTTACAGCTATATTTATGTTGATTTTCAGATGCCAATGTTAATTGCCAGTGTCAATTATCCGAGTAAAACAGTTTTAGAGAAAATTGTATTATGAAACAGAAACTCGAGTCTCTACCTAGTCAAATTTTCTTATCACATAAATTAATGTCATTAATTCTGTTTGATAAAAACAACAATCATCACTCAAGTAATTATTTTTATATGAACTTTCAATTTTGAGTATGCTATAACTTATTTATATATCTTTGTAAATCTGCATTCAAAGTTACTAGTTAGTTACCAGCTTTAGCTTTGTTGATATTTGTGATGAACCTGCAAATAATTATGTACAGTAAAGGGTAGAGGGTTCTCTGTTTTTGACTAAACGGCTTGGTCGGGTGGGAAAACTCATGATTACTAACTCAAAATTCTAAAGTTCTAAAACCCAGGCAAATGAGGCACATTAATTTTGCACATTAATTTTCCCTAAATATAAGCAGTATCAAATAACTTTAAGTTCACATAAGCTTAGAAATTAGCACACATAAGCTTAATTTAATAACTTTATTAATTAGCCTAGTAGGTTTAATTATGGATTTTTAAAAATAAAATATTCTGTTATTTCAAATACACTTTTAAGTTCCTTACCCCTTAAGAGAACATTTGACACCACATTTAAATATCTAGCTTACTCAGTGGCCGAGAAAAGAGAGAATTTTAAAATTATCCTAGAATGGAAAATGAAAGCCAAAACAACATTCTTGCCCCCCTGCCGGCATAACAGGACTTCATGGACTTGTGTTCACGAGTTTTTAAATCCCGCCATGGTAATTGTGTCAACTTAGGTCATTTACTCACCGGAAAATAACAAAAAAACAACTGGTTGATAATAAAACTAGATCTAGATATTTAGTAAATTGGTAAAGGAAAATATACATTTCAAAATCTACTCTACATGTTATTCATACCATTTTATGAAATAATGAACACTTGCATAAATCAAATTACCATAAAAATATTTTTATTTTAAATTCTAATTTTATTAAATATGCTTAAATAATATGATTGTTATAATAGTTTATAATAAATACAAGAAATAGGCCTACATTTTGCACTCAATTCACACTATATTGAGTCAACAGTGTGGAAGCTGAAAGTTCATACACGGTATTAGTGTCTTTTCTTTTTTTTACATTAAATTTTTGTTTCATATTAAAAACATGACGTGTGATTTTTTTTTTAAATTAAAATCTCCAAACATCGTCACTCGCATGATTTCTTGCTTACGTTTACTATCCCGTGGGTGAAAAATCCCACCACGGTCGAGGAGTCACTGTGAGGTCAGCAGGCCTATAATACACGTCATAGAATGAACACACGTACACGAGATCGTAGGTGTCTTCACTTCTCACCCCCCCCCCCCCCTTTTTTTCAAGAAATTTGAAAAACAGACCTACTTCGCTACTCCTGGTCATTTTTTCACATATCACCTAAACTAATTATTACATTTTTTAACGAATGGATACAAAGCTAAGACTAATTTTAAAACTTAGCTTAATGTTTTTTTTTGTCTACACAAAAGGCACACGTTATTTTTAAACTCTTAAAAGATAAAGCAAATGTAGTTTAATGTAGAAAGGTAAAGTAATTTAAATATTCAATTTCAACTTGAAGTCCATCTATCTTGATACAATCTGTCACGAAAAAAAAACGATAAAAGCTCTCCATCCTGTACTTATACCTATTGTAATTTTGACAGACGAAAACGATGCTCGCGTAAAATCTAGGCCTAGATAAAAAAGAAAAAAATGTCGCTAAAAATGCCCGTAAACAGATCATAGCACCAAAAAAAAAGCCCTTGAACGAGCATTGTTTAAAATACGCAAAAAATTGCAAAGGTTAACGGCTGATCAATAAAGTATAATAGTCACCCGTAATTAATTAGGCCTAGCTCTGAAAAAGGCCACTGAACGAGCATCGTTAGAAATACCATACAACATTTCATACAAATTATATATATCTATACGAATAGGCCACGCAGCGTTGACGAGGTTAACCACCGGTCACGAATTAAATTCAATGCAGCTACTGTAGGCCCACAGTGAAGAAAAAAAATCAATATACAAATAAAATTACTAATTCAATAATAATGTCCATAATTTTACTTTTGCTGCACGTGCTACAATTGAATTCTAATTAAAATACTAGACTTTAGTACAGTTCATTCCGCAAAAAACAAAAACTAGTTGTTTCTGTGAGGCAACTAGCTTAACAATGACGTCATGATACTAAAAATAGCGGAAATAAATGTCAGCGTGGGTACCTTACTTTGGAATAAGATTTTGGAAACCAGAATCGATAATACTGTAAATATACATGATAAATATCTCAATTATATATTAACTTAGTGTTATCAGAGCCGTTTTCCCCGTTATCGGGTCGTTTTTGACGGCGGTTCAGTTTTTACTGTGAGTGCTCCACTAGAAATCCTCTCATTATTTACAACCACAAATCTTGGGTTTTTTTCTGGCTTTCTAAGGCATATTATCCATTTTATTAGCATTTTGCATTAAAATAATGATGAGAATTGGCGACATAAACAGTTTTTTCATTTGTCGTGGATAGGACCCCTAAAATAAACGTAAAAACAGTCAGAAAACGACGCGTGACGTTTCAGGGTCAGAGGTCAATCCTGCCATCTAAGCAACGAGCCGTGCTATTAATTAGCAACAGTTGCTACAAGGAGGGGCTGGTTTGTCTCGTCTTAAAGTCACCTTTTGCAAAGATTTCAAAATTGAATAACCCGGGTTCGAATAGCCACTTCCAATAGTTTTAGTATTTTAGTAATATAATTTTTTTATTAGTCGAGTGCTCTGGCTAATTCTTATTTCTCATAATTTATAAAGAGGGCAGGAAGGTTTAAATTCAAAATTACAAAATTTACGTTGAGTAACGTTGTAGATCTAGATGTAGAATCTAAGAATGTAACTACAACAATAACAACTCTATTCGAATACAAGGCAAATCCTTGTGATAAATTAGAAATACTATTACTACATTAGTAAATCTTCTGGATCCATGAATGATGAGATATTCATTGAGATTGCCCACTCACTGGGCCACTGACTGACTTACACATTCGGAGGGTCTGACGATAACCGGTGATATTTCAACATCTTCATCTTCACCCTCATCATTCAGACGTCTTCGTCTTCTTCCTTTATCCGTCACTGGAACCGGTGCCGCAGACATTTTGCGTTCTTTGTCACAATTCGTGAAGAAATTGGATCTAAAATCTACATCAACAGCAAAATAACCGTAATTTTATCACAGTAATGAATGATATCGACAATGGCGCAGTCTTGCCAGATGCAAATGCATATAAAGTGTTAAACATTCTTAATGACTTTTGTCAGAATTAATATATCAAAATATTATTAAGAAGAATCTAAAATAGTTCAATAAAAGGAATAGTATGTCGATTCTTTCTTTAATATTTTATATATTATAATTTACATACATTCTTTAATTGATTAGGAAGTATAAAAGGCAATCAGGCAAAATATGCAGACATTAGAAGTTTACCGCCACTAACCAATAACAACCAAAGTTCCCTTTAAATTACTAAAATTAGGCATGCTTAACGAAAATATTTAATGTTTATACGCATTTAGATCTAGATCTATATAGTTTCCCAGTAAATGAATCTAGCAGTGGCGAAGGCAGGGGGGAGGGTTAGGGGGGTCATAACCCCCCCCCCATAGACCCCTCGGTATATATATATAAAGTATGATGGGGGTGCGAATCGAAAGTTTGAGGGGGGGGTGCAAATCGAAAGTTTGAGGGGGGGTGCAAATCGAAAGTTTGTCCCCGGGTAAAAATTGGAACCCCTTCCCCCCCCCCCCCCCACCCCCGAGCGAATTAGAAAAAATAAATTATATAGAAAATGCATACTTGAACCGGTGTCCGCCTTCCTCCTGAAAGTACCACGTCTTCCGATGGTAGAAAACACAACCGCTAACCCAAAAGTCTCGAGTTCGGGTACATGGCTTAGGTACTTAGAACAACCCTGTATCAAACAGCTCTGATGGGTACCTGACTCAACTTGGGGAAAGTAAAGGCGGCTGGACATAGTGCTGAGGTCACAGAAACTCCAATTCACTTACAAGTTACACTGCGCTAAACTGAAAGTAACAATTTAGAGATCGTGCACGTCGTCAGCCTGTGAAGAGATTTAAAATCATCTATTTAAAAGTGAAAGTTTGAGTGTCTGTGGGCCTTTTGTCTTTCAACAGATCGCCACGGAAGTTATTGAAAATACTCCTGCGGGGGTTTGTGCGATAAAAACAAATTCAGAGGGGCGGCGCCCCGGCAGGAGGGTGCAGTTTTGCGCCCGAAGTTTCCTAGCGGCTGTCTTAGCATCTGGGATCTGTTGATTGGATGTGTTTCTTCCAGACTTTTTTTCTCCGGGGGAGGCGGGGGGAGGGGGGGGGGGGAAATTTAAAGTTTTTTTTTTCTCCGGGGGGGGGGGCGGACTAAAATTTCCGGGGGCGGGGCCTACACCTTTTAAAAGTATATATTTTTTAATATAAATTCCATTTCGTTCGGGGGGGGGGGGGGGATATACTTTTTTGGGTGTCCAGCTCAGGTGTCGGAGGTCTACTTCACTCAATTATCAAACAGACAACGGTGTCCTGGCTGTCGGGTGACCCCCGTACTCCCCCATGAGCACTGTGGCGCCTCCATTAGATTTAAAGAGCGCACTATATATAAGATGGGCAGGCTACTAGAATAGATGATTAAACCGAACCACGGTGGCACCCGGCGCCCTGGCATTGGCTCCCAAAAACGCTTAGCGACGCCCCGACACTTTGGATGCGGCCGATGGGTGTCGATTAGTTCAAAATTCTGCGTACTCGGTATTTGATTGGAAATCAAATAAAAAAAGATGTATACACTTTTTAAAAATAGATTCAATTATTGAATAATAGGTCTAAAATATTGTTACTCATGTCCTCATTCAGTGTTTCTTTCAGACTTTTTTTTCTCCGGAGGTGGGGGGGGGGGGGTACTAAAATTTCCGGAGGGGGGGGGGGGGTAATAAATTATATTATTTATTATATAAATACATATAATTCCATTTCGTTTGGGGGGAGGGGTAATAAACGTTTTCTCTAAAAAGGTAGGTTCCACCGAGATTTGAACTCGGATCGCTGGATTCAAAGTCCAGAGTGCTAACCATTACACCATGGAACCTTCATACTTGCTTCAAGCGCCAGACTACATTTTCTTATCAGATGATAGCTATTAACCCTTTATCTACTGACGGTACTTATAAGTACCACTTTAATTAAGCGCCTGTATTATTTTTAATTTAAGACGAATTTTAAAAATTATTGATGTAATTGATAGTATTATCTCCCTTGAGTCACAGGTGGGTGGAGGGATCGATGTTTTTTGAAAATTTCTGGTGTGGTGCCATTTTCAATCTCTACCTGTATCGGTAGTTCACAATTGTTCTGTACATATCTCACATGTGTTCCTGATTTCCCTTTGTTTTACCTTATTCTTCACGTTTTCAAGACCGAATATTTTTTATTGGCATCTTCAATAGTCAAGCAAATGCGTTTAACTTCTAGTTATACAATTTTTATCAAATTGTCTTTGTAATAGATCGATGTTTACAAGTGGACTTATAAGTACCGTCAGGGCACACGGACATTTTTTAAATATTTCTTGGAAATTGCTGATTTTCGATGTGATGTGACATATATATTATTTTGATAATTAACTATAGAAATGTACTTAAAAAATATATATTTATGCATTTATAAGAAGGTTAGCGTAGGGTTTTCGTCAGAAAAATTGTAATTAATTGCAGATTTCAAGTAGTAAAAGAATAACAAGAATAGAGGTGGCAGTTGCAGGCTCGTTTACTAGGTTTAGTATACGTTATTTGTATACTAAAGACTAGTTCTAGAAGTAAGATTCGTAAGTTATATTTGTTGCAAAAAACTGTCTTGCATACAATAGCTAGCATGTACGTAATGTATACATGTAGACTAGTAATAGTCCATACATCTGCATGTAATATAGATCGTTTTGTAATTTTGAATCAGTAAACACAAAACAGTAGGCAACTACGGCTATTCCAAACACATTGAGCTCACTTCTATTTATGGACTTTACACTGTAGTGTAGACTTGTCATAACATTCTAGTAGGCTACAATTATACTTGTATTACTAGTAGTTGTGAACTGAATGACTAGGATTTCGTTTTCAAAATATTTGTTTATGCGGCTCATTGTAATGGCTATAGGAAGCCTCCAGCAAAAGCAGGTTCAGTCCGGCAACTGTTGCCACACCAGAAAGACGACAGACAAGAATGTTGTGATAGATTGACGATAGAAGCATGTGGTTGTATATAAAACGTTTATTGGGTCTAACTACATGGTGATAACCAGAGAGAGGCGGAAATGACGAGAGACAACTATTTATATATATGTAAGGGACATCACTCAAGATAACAATATAAATATAATACTAATACAGAAGAGTGAGTTCCCTTGACCTCACAATTATCTCAATCTATTACATCCCTTTACCCTTAGAACACAATAACACATCTCTCAATAGAACAATTGATAGTATCCTAAAATCACCAATTATATTGTAACATGAACACTATGGTAGATTACATTCTTACAAACAATGCACAATATGCTACAACATAATCAAGATACAAAACAATAATGTCAAAGTCCTTTTGACCCTTAAAATCATAGGTCTAACTTATTTGGGACTTTGATTGTCCTGCTTGACCTTCTCAGTGGCTTTTGATTTGGTGACTCAAGATTCTGACCATCTGGATTCTCTATCTCAGGAGGTCTAGGATTTAAATCATTAACTCCAGAATTTACATTTTCTGACTCCAGACAACTTGGTTCACTCATATCAACAGAACTTGGTTGTGGAACAAACTGAGTTGGTGTGAACTGATCAGATTTGGTGGGATTGACAGATTCACACTTATTATCTGCACAAGTTATTTTTAACTGGTCTGCATGTCTACGGACAATAAGTCCATCATTTGTTTTTACTTTATAAGACACAGGTCCTGTACATTGAACAATTTGACCTGGTATCCATTTTTCCTTTCTCCCATAATTTCTTAGATACACATTGTCATTAACACCAAATTCTCTTTCAATGGATGATTTGTCATGATTTACTTTTTGTGTATGTTGATGTTGGGAAACAGACCTTTGAACAGTTGGATGTAGTAGGTCAAGATGAGTTTTAATTTTCCTACCACATAGCAATTCACATGGTGCAACACCTGTTGTTATATGAGGAGTTGTGCGGTATTTGGTTAAGAACCTGTTTACTCTTTCTCTAAGAGAAAACTTGTTACCGGTATTCATTTTTACCATAGCGGTTTTGAATATGCCTACCGCTCTTTCAGCCAAACCATTCCCAGCAGGATGATAGGGGGATGTGGTTATATGCTCAATACCATTTGCTACACAAAACAGTTTAAACTCATGAGCTGTGAAACTAGGCCCATTATCTGAAACAATTTGATCTGGTAATCCATGAGTTGAAAATATTTCCTTCAGTTCTATAATGGTATCATTTGCAGTGATTGTGTTCATGATTTTAACTTCTAACCATTTAGAATGTGAATCAATAACAATTAAGAACATTTTGTTCATGAAAGGTCCTGCGAAATCTATATGTATACGTTTCCATGGTTCGATTGGCCAGTCCCAGTTTTGCAAAGGTGCTGTAGCTGGTTGATTTGAATGTTGTGCACAGCTTGAACAAAGTTTTACATATTTTTCAATATCAGCATCCATATGTGGCCACCAGAACCATGATCTTGCTAGACTCTTCATTTTGGAAGAACCAAGATGAGTATCATGTAAAGTTCTTAAAACTTCTTTTTGTAACATTTTGGGGATAATTACTCTTGACCCCCATAGTATACATCCATCTTCTAGACTTAACTCTGTTTTTCTTATTTTATATGGCTTTAAGTCCTCATTCACTGACTCTTCAGGCCAACCATTTTTACAGTACTCATATACTTTTATTAAGCACTCATCTTTTTGTGTTTCTCTTTTAATATCATTCACATTTATATTGGAGTTATCCATGATAGTGAAGAGAACAAATACATCTTCTGGTACATAGCTCAGGCTTTGGTTTTTTAAAGGTAATCTACTCAGACTATCTGCACTATTCTCAGATCCAGGTTTGTATTTCAATTCATAATTGTATGCAGTTAGTGTGATAGCCCATCTTTGAATTCTTGGTGAGGCATGCTCAGGTAGGGTTTTGTTTTCTCCAAATAAACCT